TGACATGACCTTTTCAATTTTTCTGGGAAAGTCCCAGCAGGGGAATAGCTGGATTGAATGGAACTTCCAATCCTAGTTTTTTGAGGAACCTCCATACAGATTTCCAAAGTGGTTGCACCAGACTTCACTCCCACTAATAGTGGAGAATTGTCCCTTTTTTCCCACATCCTCACCAACATTTGGTATCATTTGTTTTCTTGATGGCAGCCATCCTTTCCAGGGTGAGATGAAATCTCAATGCTGTTTTAATTTGCATTTCTCAAATGACCAGTGATGGTGAACATTTCTTCATATATTTATTTTCCATTTGCATATCTTGTCCAGTCTAGTGGTTTCTTTCTGTTGTTGTTCTTGAGATTTTGGTCATTTTTATCTCCATCTAGTATGTCTTTCAGTACTCTTTCTAGGGTTGGTTTTGTGGACATCAATTTCATCAGTTGTTCTTTGTCACAGAAGTATCTTGTTTCATCACTAAGTGTGAAGGACAGTTTTTTTGGGTACATCAGTCTGGGTTGAAAGTTGTTTTTTTTTTTTTTTTTTTTTTTTTTAGTGCTTGAAATACTTCACTCCAAGGTGTTCTTAAATTGGAGGTTTGTGCTGAAAAGTCTGCTGTGATTCTACTAGGCTTCCCTTGATAGATGAGTTGTGTCTTTTCTCTAACAGCTTTCAGTATTCATTTTTTATGCTGTGTGTCTTGGATCTTAATTATTACATGTCTGGGGTAAATTGTGTTGCTTGTGACTCTTGGCATTCTGTATACCTCACTTTTCTGTATATCAAATTTTTTCCCTTTGTGTAGGAAATTTCCTGTCATTACTTCTGTGAATATTTTAGGTATGTCATTTGCATTGACTCCTGCATCTTCACTGTTGCCTATTAGCTTATGTTGTTTCTGTTGGCATCATGTTGAAGCTGCTGGATTGTCATTTCATGCTGCTTTTTGTTTTTATAAGTTCTAACCTTTGAACCTGTCTTCAAGGTCTGAAATTGTATCCTCATCTTCATTTAAGCGGTTTTGTTAACTTTCAATAGAATTTTTTATTACTTGGATGACTCCTCGAATGTGTTTTATGGATTTTGCTTTTGGCATTGTTCATTCAAAGTTTTGATCAATTTCCCATGCTCCTGTATTTTTTAATCTATTTTTTCTTTAGCTATGAAGAGCAACTTATTTACCAAGGTTGTTATTTTTGTGTTTACATAAGACATTATTTCTAATTTTATTTTTTCTATAGCCTCATGGATTTTTTTTCTTTACTTCATTTGCTCTCTTTTCAGAGATTCCTGGTGTGTGACTTTTAAAGTCCTCTATTTCATTGTCACATGTACTTGCTCCTGATGGACTAGATGTTTGAGATAGAATTTTTCCTCTTCATTTTGTCATTTTCACATTTTGGGTAAATATTTGGTCTTTCAATCCCAGCAGTCCGAACCATCGGTAGTGGTAATTTTAGCGTCCTACTGTGTGGTTGATGTTAGACCAGTTTCTGGGTATCACAGTGAAGAGGAGAGCCAGTCATCTGAATTCCTCCTTCAGCGTCTGTTGGGTGAGTCCTATATTCTTTCTAGACTAACCAACCTAAAAGTATAGATGTAGGTTAACTCTTAGTTCCTGCTGTTACTATCTCTTCAGGTTGTTGCAGGTCACCAGCTCTCCCTGACCATAGTGTTTGTGTCAGCTGAGGCCATAGTGTGTCAGCGGGGTCTCATAAGCTCTTTTAATTTTCCCCAAAATGGGGAGGCCTTAGTGGCACACTCCTCAACCTGTCTGATGTTCTCTGTGTGGAGGAGGGGATTACCCTTGAAATTTTGCCAGGTTCATCAAGGTTTTACCGGTTGGAAGGTGTTTCACTTCTGCTCCTATTTACTCACAGCAGACCTGTACTTTAGGGGCAAACTTACCACACTGACTAGAGCTGCTGAGTTCTTCTGTTTGGGTGGGGAGTTCCCTAGTCTCCGATCCAGCCAGCACGGTAATTCACTGTAGTCCAAGGTTCTGGAAGAAGGGGTTGAATCCAAAGATCAACTGAAGTACTAGGTCCAGGTGGTGGGTGGATTCCCCTAAGGAACAGCCCACTGCAACAGATCTAGGTAGTCAGTCATGCCACTGTTGTCCCAGGTGTTCTGTGAAGGGGCGGGCCCAGCGGCAGCAGTCCTAAGCAACCCAGGAGTTCTGGGGTGTCCCTGGTGTTTTTTGGTGGTGGTATGAGGTATATCAGTTTCTAGGGTGTCCAAGGTGTTCTCAATGAGGGATGGGCCCAATGGTGGCAGTCCTAGGTTACCCAGGTCTGCCTGGGCAGCCCAGTGTTCTTGTAGAAGGGTAGGCCCAGCAGGGGCCTAGGTCATCCTGGGGCTTCCCAATTGTTCCTAGCATCCCAGATGTCCCTTGGGGAATGTTGGGTATTAAGCATGGTGCAGAAGTTGTGCTCCATGGTGGTGTGGTGTGGTTCTCTGTCTTTGTGCTTTTAAAAACTGAGTTCCAAGTTAGGAAGAATTAGTTAATTAAATCTTCTACTTGATCTGTTTTGTGTGTGTGTTTTTGAGACAAGGTCTTGCTGTGTAGTTCAGGCTAGTCTTTATTTCATTTTGTAGCCCAGGTGGTCTGAAACTTGCAACAATCCATCTAATTCAGCCTCCTGAGTTCTGGGATTACAGAGTGCACCACCACTGCAGCATTTTTTAAATGTTTCTTTTCATAGACAAAACCTATTGTTCCACTTCATTCCAAGTAATATGCTTTGTATTTTTAAAATTAAATTAAAATTTTTTTGGTACCAGGGATCAAAGTCAAGACTTTGCTTTTGCGAAACAGGGACTTACACTGCTGAGCTAAACACCTGGCACTCAACTAATACATTTTAATCAGTGGTTTCTCAAGTATATTCTTATGTGCTTTTGTCTCTGAGATATACTATTTATCTGCATTATGCTCAGATGAATGAGTGAAATACATTAATTACGTATGCAGTGGCCTGGCTCACGTCAGTTTTAAAGTTTCTTCGAGAATGCTTTTAACCCAATTAGAATGACACAAAATATTTAAATTCTGGAGAGATATACTGTTATGTGAACAGAGAAGTAACAAGGAACGTAACAGCTATGTTGTAATCAAAGTAGTTTATTACTTTTTAAAAACATAGACATGGAAATGAAAAATAAATATAAATTTTAGGATTCCCTCACAAAACATCTGCAAATAACATTCAAATCTGTAAGTTTGAAATTCTGTAAATCATTATCTTTTGAGTTGGTAGGTTGTTTTATTTGAGAAGGAAAGAAATGTATTTATGAGGCAAAACGCTAACTTTTTCCTTTTAATTGATACCGGGTATCAAACTCACGACCGCCTGCTTGCAAGGCAGGTTCTTATGCCGCTGAGCTAAATCCCCGGCCCCAAAACACTAATTTTTAATACTGAGGTAACATTGTTGTAAGTTGTCTAAAATTACTTAATTTCTGTCCTGTAAAACCTATATTATGTTCCTAAGGTTTGTGTAATTTCTGTCTTAAATAATCGGGCTCCCAATGGGGCACCTGATGCCAGGGTAGGATGTAAGATAGGTTTCAAAATAAACTTTCATATCAAGTGCTGCTGTTAGTGTCCAATTCCTTTATGAAACATGCCAATTAATATTGCTATTAATATTAATACCCTCCTTCACCAAATCAAGAAACAAGAAATTTAGATACTCAAAATAGCACAGCTCTTAAAGAACTCCTCACAAACAAGAGGGAAACTCTTTGCAATATAAAACATCCCAAAAATCTTAGTGTCATTTTAAGCTTTGGTACCATGTATAAATACAGAATTTAAAACATTATCATATATTATCTGGAAGAATTATCTTGGGAAATGTGAAAATTAAGCTTTTAACTTTGGTTCCAGTTCTGCTTTCTATCCTTTTTTAAGAGACTAGAAAAAGTTTAGAATAAATGAAGAATATTCTAAACTCACCAAACTGAAATGTTCCAATAAGGATTTGTAAGTTTGCAGCTTTTTTACCTACTCCAGTGCCCGTAAAGGCACAAACATAGTAGCCAAAGGCTTAAAACTACTCTGAAACTTTTGGGATGCCTTGTACTTTACTATCTGTAGTGATTATTGAACCATCATATTGGTTCGCGTTATAGAAATATCTTCTGACGTGTTTACTTAACAAAGGGAAATCATCAAAAAATTATCAGCATCATTTTTAACTCATAAGATTCTGTATGAACCCATAAAAGTAGATTGCCAATAGCAGATGATTTGTCTTTATGACCACAGACACGGCACGGCATGAGGCTGCTAAGTAGTGCTTGTAAAGAACCTGAGTGGCAAGTGTGCTCTGGCTGATTTTTTGTGTAAAATTGCTGACATGACTGCTTAGGAACTCAGTGATACCACAGGAAGGAAGAACCTTCAATACTGATGAAGTGGTAGTGCAGTCCTAAATGATTTCATGAGTGTGAATACTCCTATTGGGGGCTGGTTGAATGACTCAGTAATAGACATACTACCTGAGACATGGGTAGGAATGGGGATTTTTCTCTCAGCACCATGTAATACAAAAGGTTCCCCATTTTTTAACAGTAATACTATGATAATCCTAAAAGTCTACAAAGCTATATAGTGGCAGGGGACATGAAAAGTATACAGATACTATTTAAAAAATCTACCTTATAAATTTATTACAACTTTAAACTAGCTTAAATGTATACTCTTAATCCAAAAACCATGCAGAGTTCACAGGCATTGGCCTGTGAAGTAAGCGAATGGTTGTGTCAGCCAGGAGCTTCTGCTTTGTACTAGTAGTAACTGCTCACATCAATGAAGAAAGGCAGTGTGTTGCTGCTTTCACAAGGCCTCTTCCCATGTAAAACAACTATAACTGTCCAACAGTTTCTGAAATTCAAGGTCTTTCCTTTTGGCAAAAATGTTCACTTTGGATTTTTTTTTTACAAGACAGGTGGTCCATCTTGTGTAAATGAGGGTCTAAGATGTCATCTCTCTCTTTTAGGACAGGATGGCTTTTGACAGTCGAATTCCAGTGAAGCTGTCATCCCTGGAAGATTTTCTGATTTCACCTCTGTGCAAGCCTCCATCCTCACAGTATCTTGACATTGCCTAGGAAAGTTCATCAAAAGGAATACAGGTAAAAATTTTTTAAAAGACAGAAATCTTAAAGAAAAATAATCTAATCACAGAAGTTTAGTCATACAAACTTACTTTAGCTACTTCATGGTCACTGATGCTTTGGGTGTTTGAGACCTGCACTCCCAGGTTAAGAGGCTGCTACTTCCTGCCAATTCACTAACATTCTTTAATGATGATTCAATTACCAAGTTAAGGGAAGTTTGTTCAGTTACACTCTTTACAAATGGAGTTTCCAAAGCTGACAAAATTTGGTGATACAATAAGCTACTAACAGCATTTTTTATCGTGTAACTATATTAAAAATGATAAAGCTACGTATGTGCAAAAACAATCAGTAAATACTGACAGAGCTATTCCAATGCTATCTGGCTGTTATTAGTTTCCAAACTCTAAGGTATTTCCTTGGAAGGTGGTATGAATTTAATGTAGAGCAGGAGAGTTCTGTAGCACCAAAGGATGCTTCTTCAAATTAACATGAGTTGTAGGAGCAAAATACATATTCCAAAATGGATAAGTCCTCAGTTTAAGAATGAGTTCTGTTCTGGGAGAACATTCCTGAGTCAGATTTATTTGTGAGTCCAACAAAATTAATCTCATAGTCATTGGACACAAATATACAATGTAAAACACTGAAAAGGCAATCACCAGTGAAATAAACTTCATAATCTGCGAAAAACTGCAAATTAAATGTTTGTAACTTGGGGACTTACTGTGCCACCGACGCACTACAGAAAGTACCATTTGAATGTAAGCATCTTTTTCAGGCATCAATTGTTTTGGTGGAGGATCACCAAAAGTCACAAACCATGTGCATTATTTTGCCTATGTAAGCTGCCACTTCCCTTTAAAACTCATGTACTTCCAATTTCCACATACACATCACATATCTTACATATAGGCTGTCATGTTAGCCACTAAGAATCTGTCTACTGAATCCTTGGTCTTGAAGTAGGACAGCTGAGTTCTGATATGAATTTTAAAATTGAGTAAAAATTAGCACAAGTAATTAAGTGAACAGTATTTGTATACATGATAAAGAAAACAAGCCCAGGTACTTAATCATGTGTGGCTATGGAGAAAGGTAGCGGTTCAAAAGGAAAACCATTTGGTCAGAATAATGCTGATTAAACTATTCTGAATTATGATCAAAGAAATTAGGACTGCTTTTAAATAATAAAGTGAATCTCTATCTGAACCTTTAAGAACTAAAATATATGACACACTAAAGGTTTAGTAAAGTCTTGAAAGTGTTAATTTCAAAAGTTGCCATTTTCCTTAACTACTTTATATGATATAGCCACCGATGCTGGCATTAGTGGCTCACAGAACATCCTAGTTAGTGAAGGCACAGCCTTACTTCTAGTTTCTGTGCTCTTTCTTTGGTGAGAGGTACAGACACAAAGTACATGTTGCTGTGATCTGCTAAAGAGCGAAGATCAAAGTAGTATTTGGCATAAGTGCTGGCAGACACATTAACATTAAACTCAAGCAGACACAAGTAATGCCTTTCCAGTTGATTTCTGTGGAGGAAGAACACAGAAAAATGAACATCAGACAATTGTGATCAAGTAGACTATCTTCGAAAATGTCATTTTGCGCTTCTAAGGACTGCTGTAAATTCTATTAAAAATTTTTTATTTAAGAAAAACAAAACAGGAAAAGGGTACAAGTAATACAGAATTTGAACAAAATAAACAGTAAGAAATCACTAGTTAATAGATTACATAAAAGTCATATTAGAAATAGTTGTTCAAGTTTCAAAATTAAAGCATACAAAGTGGACATTCAAACAGTGAGACTGCAAACAGTTGTGTTCAGTGGTCCAACAAAAACTTTATCTTACACTCCTAAACACACTTTCAGTTGTATCCTTTAGAGCACTCTTTTTCCCTCACTTTTTTACAATTACAATTACACATTTTGGGTTTTATTTCTCCCACAGTTCTTAATACTGACTGCTGTAAATTCTGAGATGTAGGGAGGCTACTTAACTTGGAAGAAAAAATACTCATGTGCCAACAGGCTGTTTTGAATTGTTTCTGTATCCCAGCACATTTGCTTTTGGGTGGACAAGAATAGTTATAGCCTATTCATTACTGCCTATTGCTGGCTCATGATTCTTTCTTCAATGTTCAGCAGTGCATCTGTGTGACTCATGCCTCACACACATTCATCACTACATTGAGCAGAGAAAAAAATAAATGTATGCTAATGTTAGCTCTCAAAAGCTTGCAGACATATTGAGGGGGAAGTAGAGGGGCACCAGGGAAAGATGCACCATTCTGCTCTCTGAGGAGGCAAACTCTTCAAGCAAGCGTTCATCCTAAATTTGCAAGGAAGGAAAGAAAACTACACTATATGAGAAAGGCAATCCTTTCCCCTGTCTCAGCATATGAGAGTATGATGAACGGCGTCTTATTACGGGGTAACAAATTGTGACCATGACAAGATACCCCTTTTAAACTTTGGAAGATGGAAAGGTCAGAGACAGAAGTCTTAGGTGGACTAAATCCCTTGTAGGACAAGAACATTGTCAGAGCCCTCACACTCATGTTTCTGTGCTGGGGAAATCCAAGTTGATCAGTATCTGCTGCCCCTCACCAGAAGAGAATGTACATGTGTGGGTATACACACACATGCACAAGCACATGCACATGCACGCACATGGGTGAGTTCAGTGCAGTGGAAAGAGAAATGACTGGGAACAGCCCTGTGCTATGTGACTAGGCAGCTGCCTTTGCACCTTCTATACACATAAAATCAGAGCCCATCAGCCTGATTTCTACACACATACAACAGTTCTAATAAGGGGTAGGCAGGCACAGGAGTCTGGAATAAATTCTGTTGTAAAGACCAGCTAAAGCAAAGGTACAACTTGTGACTCAGACTAAACCTATAGCCCCAAGGATATAACAGTGATCAAACATTTATTTCAAAAGTCAGACATGGTAGCCCTTAAAGAAGGGAATGGCGCTGAAAGCTGTTAAAAAGCCATGAAGATAAACACAGTAATATGTTATACTGCTGGTAAGGTTATAAAATACTTGTCTGCAACCTCCAGAAAAAATTACACCTTATGAAGCATACCATTACAATAATAATCCATTAAAACAAATTAATGATGGAAAATATGAATCTCTATACTGTAGATTGACAGGATATAATAGTTTTAAGCTCATTTTTATTTTCTATATAATGTAATATTTAAAATATTTCTTAAAATGCATGCCTTAAGGGGACAAGTGAACTGGAACATGGATAGAAAAGTCACCAAAACCTTTTAAACTCACATGTCTTGGAGTGCAAGGTTCTTGAGGATCTGGCAGAAGTCTATGTTCCACACAGCCTTATCATGCCAAACCTTGAAGGCAAGGAGAATGGCTCCCAAGACAATCCTTTTCCAGTTGGTAGGACAGAGGTCAATCTTAGCATATGACATCAACCTTTCTAAGTAAACCTGCAAAGAGTAGAGTAGAGCACCGCTTTTTCATTTTAGCTCTGTTAAGTGCTTTGCTAAGAACTGTTGTACATGATGTTTATCCTGTGATGAGAAAGGGAAGTGTGACTGAGAGATTGTGCTCAGCTAAAGCAAGATGTCAGGTCACAGCTGGAATCAGACACATCTACTGCCCATGTAAATTTCCTACACAGCTTTTTGATTGGAATGCCTGGACATTGCAACAAAAGTCATCCAGCAGGTAGTATTGCTATCACCTCCACATTCGTGAAGGGCACAGGTGTAAATTTGTTCAGTAAATACCAAGTGCCACCAACATGCAATATAACATACAGGCGGTAGATATAAAATGGATTTAGACATGTTGTAGTCAGCTGTGATACCTAACTCACAGTGAGCACATTTCATCTTTTCATAGTATTAAGACTTTTGTGGCAATAACTGATGGACAAAAGCACCTACCCATGGCTGATGAACAGAACAGCATGAGAGGTGCAAGATTTACAGCTATGAAGTTTTTCTGAAATGCAGTACCTTTATAATGAAGCCACAAGTAAAGCAAGATGGTCCTTCTTAGAGCCCTTTTTCATATTTCCACTATTCATGAATATCCATTTTCCTTCCTACATAATTAGCAACTTATTCAATGCTTTGGCTTTATGATGAGAAGAACAGCTGCCAGCCTGTAACGCTGAGACCCCTAAAGTTCCAGGAAGTTCATGACATGACCTCAGGCACTGTTTACATATATCTAACATCTGTTCTACAAAGAACTAGGTGAGCAAATTGCTGAGTAAGGATTACAGAGGAAGCTGTTTACTGTTCCTTAAATCTGATCAATACAAAAGTTTCCTGATGCTCAACTCTCCTAGATAGAAGTTTAAGATTCGCACATGTACCTATGCACATCCTTGTATACTTGAAATCATTTCTAGGGTATTACACTAAAAAAAATTCAAGGTAAATTCCAAGTAAAGACAGATACACTATACATTTAAGCATTAAGGACAAGAAAAAAGAAGGCCATAAAATTTCCCCAAATGGTGAAATTTTAGAAGCAGAGCTCATGGACTGGATATGCTATTTTAACTCTTTCTATCATGACTAAAAGGAAAAAGGCTCACTTTTAAGAATATAGTTACAATCTGTAAGCTGTCGGGCTAGCAGTCCATATTAGGCAATATTCTTAAACTTGAATGTATTCATTCTCCAATACCTGCTCTCTTAGCTATTCTAAATATGATACTGTGTTCCAGGATGCAACTCTTCTGTATATAAATGATGTGAGATAATGAAACAGTGCTGGTCATCCTCAACCCCTGTTCATCTTTTCCATGGCTTTGTTGTGGGTTAGTATTCATTCGTACCACTTGCCTGTTATGTGAGTGGACCACTGTTCTTTACTTTCAAAAAGGCAAACTCTTCCATCAGTATTGGTGCCCCACCCCACTTCTGCTGGACACTAACTACCTCTCTCTGAAGACTTTCCATGTCAAATGTCCCCGCCCCTCCCCAACAGGTGGTTTACATTGCTCTCATCT